ATATATGCATAAAAGCTGAGTATCATCTACCATATATTCAACTATGAAAGCAGAATAACATGTATCATATTTTTTATTACTTCCAAGCTCCCAGGAAAATTAAATTTTGGCATTAAATGACCCAAAAGGAGTTGATATGCCATTAAACAAACAAATCAGTCAATCAATAAAGGTACTTGTATCTTGTTTTTCTCATCAAGGTGATATTTTAAAACAGTCATATTCAAAACTTTTCTTCTAGTGTGATATTGCACCTTCAGTTTCTTTTTTGCACATCCACCAGTCTTAATTTAGTTCGCATCGACGCAAACAGGAATTGAACCAAGGTATAGTGCAAAAGCTGATCAGTCAGAATAAGAAACTGTCTGTGGGAAGGACATATCTGTTTACAACTCTAGTGAGTGGTTAGTACTATGAACATGGCTTTTCTCTTCATTCCCTGCATAAGATTGGAAGCTGATATGTTCATGCCTAAAAGAGAAACAAGAATGTTCAAATTTGACGTGCTTATGGCTTGCTACAGATATATACTTAAATACCCACTGTATCATGTACGTATTTTGGAAGGTATCATTAAAAACAAAAAAATGAGTACTGAACTGTTATGTAATATCAGTCCTCCTATATGGCAGTGAATGCTGGACAATCTCCTCACAGATGAAGAAGTGACTTGAAGCAACAGAAACATGGTTCTACAGAATGATGATGAGAACATATGAGCAAGGACAAAGTTTTAGAGAAAATGGAAACAAAAAGAACACTTATGCTTACCATCAGAAAGATATAGATGAAATTTCTGGGGCACATAATGAGGAAAGCAGGCTTGGAAAATTTGAAACTCACAGGACAGATTGAAGGTAAGAGGCCCAGATGAACACAACACCTAACTGGTGATTTTGAGCAAATGGCTGGTGGAGCAGGGTTTTGGAGAGATGGCAAAACAACAAAAGTTATTAAGAACTGCAAAGGACAGGAAGCTGTAGAGAGCCATGATCACCAATGTCTTGAAGGGACATGGCACATACAAAAAGAACTTTAACACAGTCTAGCCTTTTGATCACACACACCAGACTTCACAATTCAGCAGAGAAATATTTGAATATATTTTGAGTGTATAATAATTATGGGTGAAAAACTATGAACAAATTTATAATAGTTTATGGCTAGTCCAGCAAAAAATCAGGAGCACACAACTTCACAAACCACTTTTGACAGCATTGATTATTTACAGAACCTTCTTCAATTTTGCAATTTTTTTTTTTTTTTATCCAATTAAATTTTGCTTCATTTCAAATATCTTTTGGGGGTTAATTTCATTTCTTAGACTTGCAGAGTTCTTTCAGATGTTCTAAAATATTAAGAAAAATTCTTTGCCATATTTTCTGGTCAAACTAGAAATTATTTAAGTTGTCTCAGTACTAAAGTGGTAAGTTAAATTCTGGACTTCATTCACACCAGGTTCTCCTGTATAAAAATGTATTAGTTTGTACGACTGGTTCTCCTGTCTATTAAATTCAAAATAAATGGTCCACTCTGACCTGACTTCCTGGCTTCATTTACTTTCCCATCACCGTAACGTAGCTTCTCTATACCTTTTCTATAAATACTTTCATGGTAATTGTTCTGATGAACTTTCTGCTATGCTACTGAGACTTTATGAATTTAAATGCAGTACTAGATTGACAAGGTTATATTATCTTACAGTTGAAATGGCTAGATGTAACCATAAGTTCTCTGATAATAGTTTCTTTTCTTGCACTTCTTGCCTGTGGAGCTCTCTTCCAGTTCCTTGCTTTCCAGCCAGTGTTGATCTTCAAAAATTAAGATGCACTGTCAATTGTTATCTTCTGTCTACTTGATTACTCTTGTTTTATTGTTCTCGCTCCTTAATAATGTTTTACTCATTATTATTATTTCACGTGTAGTAACTCCTTGTGTCTTAGAGACTTTTTTGCCTTGCTTGGGGTGAAAAGATTAAAAAACAAAAAGTATATTTCATATGACTGGTTCTCCTGTATTCAATAACTAAAAGTGTACACTTCTCTTAAAATATTTGATTTAAGTTTGTCTTCACCAAAACTGGCTCAAAACAAAAAACTTTATTTATATATATATATATATATATATATATATATATATATATATATATTTTTTGTTTATACATAATTTTTATAATCTTTATAGCTACAAATATTCAAGTAACTGCTCTGCTTATAATAAAAAGTATTAACAACATTTATTGGCCTCAATACTGTTTATTATAAGGAGAGCATCTACTTAAATATTTATATCTATAAAAATAATGTATAAAGAATAAATATATTGTCGGACTTAGCCCATTTCATGATATATATATATCTCTCTCTCTCTCTCTATATATATATATATATATATATATATATATATATATATGAGAGAGAGAAAAAAAAATATATAATGTGTGTGTATTTTCAGAAATTAATTTTTTTTCTAGCATAGTTCCTTGTTACTAGAAATATTTCTAGTAACAAGAAGTTATGCCAGAAAAAAAATTAATTTAGCAGGTACATATGTTTGAGCAGACAATCTCATGTTATTTTTTAACAGTGAAATTAATGTCTAATAGCCTACAGGTTGAAAGTCTTTCTAAAGAAAATGTGCCTTCCAACATGAATAGAATTTGTATTTCCTTTTTTAAGCTGAGAAACCATTTTCAAGTAAAGTATACTTTACTATTAAGCTCTGAGAAGCTGTCACAGCAAAGCACATTTGCTGGAATGTCTACTCAATCTCATGTAGCCACTAAAAATAGTATCTATATCCACATAAGCTCTTTCTTTTTTCTAAACCTTCATGTGGGCAATTGCTCTCAACCTTCTAAATGTAAATATTTTCAAATAAATTTACCTGTACACACTCACACATAATTTTTGTTTTTTATTAGAAAAGAAAACATTTATATATTTGTCTATATCTCTGAGATGAGGTATTATGATTATTTACATTATTCGAACTGTTATCTTCAGCTTCATTACCATATTCACAACATTTCTTCTTCTATATCTCTGAGATAAGGTATTATGATTATTTACATTATTCAGACTGTTATCCTCATTGCCATATTCACAAGGTTTCGGCTGTTGTACGCTCCAGCCCTTCTTCAGGTGATTGGAATTTCAAACCGAACCCTTTATTTCATCCACCGGGCTAGATTGTTTCTAATTCCATTCCTCTTTCAGATATCTCAGTTATTTCCCTTTAACTGAATTCTCCAAGTTTTGGTTCACTGGATTAAACAATGTCTTTATCCACTGCATATGAATTTTTGGGACTTATAAACCTAATGTCTCAGCAAGCGTGAATATGGCAGTGAAGATTAGGATACCAGTCCGAATAATGTAAATAATTTATATACTTATTGGTTACACAGCCTGATTTCCCCAACTTACTAATGGGATATTCCATTATGGTGACAGTAAGCATTACTGGACTCCAATAAACAAACATACTTCTTGTTACCATAACAATGGAATATCTCAGTAGTAAATCAGGGCAAGAAATTTGTTTTGGCCCTTAATTAGCTTTCTTTGGATATTTTCACTTTTAATGATCTAAAAAAAATGGCAGAATTCTCACTCATATGAAGACAATAGAGTTAATGTATCGATAAAAAATCTGAGATTACTAATTCAGAAAATATAATCACTGCAATTGCGAAATCATTTAAATATTGCCATCATTTTTTAAATACATCCCAAAGAATTGCTGGAACTGCTATTTAACCTTAGCATATTTGGGATGAAAATTAGAATAATAAAGATAATAATGATGCTAGCAGCAAACTACCTGCATACGGATAGAAATGAATTCAGTAAATATACAAAAATAGAAACTAGTACAAGACAAGGGAATGTCTTCTTGCCGGACTTATTCAACTGATACAATGAAGCAATTCTAAGAGAAGTCCTACCAGAATTCATTATTGGCAGCCACAATCTTGACAGTCTTTATATGCAGATAACACAGTGTTGATAGCAAACATAAAAAGGAAACTACAAGAATTCCTACAGAATGTAGTGAAGGAAATCAGGAAGAAAGAACTAAACATCAATTGCAAGAAGAGAGAATGCATGGTTGTCAGCAAAAGGAAGAGCCCAACATTCAAATTACAAATTGGAGATACCAAAATCAAACATGTACAGCAGTTTAAATATCTGGGAAGGGTTTTAACAGAGGATGGAAAGTGCAACACTGAAATCTGAAGGTGCATTGGGATAACCAAAGTGGCCTTCCAAAAGCTAAGCAAAGTATTAAGAAACAGAAAAATTTCATTAGAAACAAAGAAAAGAATACTGAACTGTTACATAATAACAGTCCTCCTATATAGCAGTAAATGCTGTACAATCTCCTCACTGATGAAGGAGAGACTTGAAATAACAGAAATGTGCTTCTACAGAAGGATGCTGAGAATGGACCGAACATGTGAGCATCAACAATGTTTTAGAGAAAATAGAAACACAAAAGATCATTTATACTTAACATCAGAAAATGGCAATTGAAATTCCTTGGGCCGATAATGAAGAAAGAGGGCTTGGGAAATTTGATACTCACAGGACAGACTAAAGGCAAGAAGGACAGAGGAAAACAATGCCTAAAGCTACCTAGGAAGCTTGAGTAAATTGATGGCAGAACAAGGTTTAGGAGAGATAAAAAGACGAAATTTATTAAAAGCTACAAAGAACAGGAAATTGTTGAGAGCCATAATCACTAATGTCCTGAACAGACACAACACATGGAAGAAATTATATATATATATATATATATATATATATACACACACACACACAACATTTTATAGAATTTTTTAAACAGTTATATGGACAATTCTTCTTTGCCTTTTCAATATATATTTCTAAATATGTTTTCCCCTTCACATAAATATAAATATATATATATATATATACACACACACACACGTTGTTTTTTTTATCTTATAATCCTTTTCTAGAACAAATTCACTTATGGCACAAACCACTACATCCCAGGTATATATGCCCAGGTAAATGTTTGTCTGTGTGTGCGGCTATGTTCTTCTATTGACTAGTTTGTTGCCCACCACCACCATGTTATTGATTTTCTTGCCAGTTCTCTCTCTCTCTCTCTCTCTCGACTGTGTTTACTGTGCTTTTCAGCTTCCATACTTTGACAAACTGTTCACCCCTGTCATCTGTCTTCCTCACCACTTTGCTTGCAGTCAGTTATACCGGCTTTTTGACGCCTCCCCATACCATTTCTTCCTATTCACCCAAGCCCCGACCTAGATCCTACATTTCTTGTCCACCTCCACCCGTCTCTCTCTCTCTCTCTCTTTTGTATAAACTCTTTCTTTTCTCCACTTGTAACTCTTTTTCCCCTCTCAACTGTCTACTTTCGAGGCTGAACCTTTTTTTTGTGTGTGTGTGTGTGTGTGTTTTTAGTTTTTTTTTTTACATCTCATGATACAGAAAGTATTTACGAAAATTACCTAGTCTGGCACAAGAGTTTTGAAGCACACATTAGGGATCGAACTCTCCCCCGCCCCGGTTAAACATTAATTCACACAACACCCACATACGACCCCCCCCCTTGTAGTTATTTTTTCTTTCTACAAACGTCTGTCTTTTCTTCTTTCATTTATTTTTCTATCTTGGAAATACCTTTTCTCTCTCATATATATATATATATATATATATTTATTGTGTATATGGGTAGCTCTTCCTCTTTTATACAGGTTTCATTAAAGATGACTGATATAAGGTACTACAATTAAGCTTTTTATTTAATTTTTCTTGCAGTCACACAAGTATTTTCTTTTCTGGACATGAAGTAGGTAAAGAAAGTCTAAACGCTCTCTCTCTCTCCCTCTGTGTGTGTGTGTGTGTGTATATATATATATATATATACACACACACACACACACACACACACACAGTGTAACCTGGATATAAGAGAGATTTTCTCTGGTCACAAATTAGAGCCTGTGTTAATGTATACATATAGACCAAACCCGGATATAAGAGACAACTTCTCCGGTCCTGGCAACTCTCTTATATCCGGGTTTCACTATATATATATATATATATATATATATGTGTGTGTGTGTGTGTGTGTGTGTGTATGCACTTTCGGCTGTTCTATTAGCCATTATTAAGGGGTTTTTTTTTAATTTTTAATATGTAGATTTTTTTATATATGTCTATCTATTCAACTGTAATCTGTATTGATGTGAATGTTTTTTTTATTTTCCAAATATGGTCAGCACATTGTGACCATATTCATAGTTGATTGAATGTTGGCTTTTCCTTAATGCTTCCGTTATTTTTAGATGTTTGGCTGAAAAAATAAAGAAAAAAACACATCCCCCATCACTGTACAAATATACACATCTATAAAAGCCTGTGTATTCAGTTAATAATAATAAAAAATACTTGATAATGGCTAATAGAATAACTGAAACCGCTCAGGTGTATAGAATATTCAGACAATTTTTATGCATTTTATGTTTAGAAAATAAAATACCTGTATGAATAAAATCATTAATCGCAGTACCTTGTCAGTCTTCTTGTGTTTTTATATATATACTAGCAGGAGAGCCCGGCATTGCCCGGGGATGTAACAGTAAGAGATAGATCAAGTATCCACAATCATAAAGACTGAAAAATAAAATTGACAAAGATTGTTGTTTAAGGTTGACAGACACGCATGTCTTAATTAGTTTTTTTTTTGTTGTTGTTTTTGTTTTTTTGGGTTTTTTTTACGAATTGGTCAAACTCAAACAAAAAACTTGTTTTCAATCGTTATGAGTCTACCGATTGAATAGAATTTTATTATAAACAATTGTCTTGTAAATGGAATTTTTAAAGCATTCTGAATGTAAAAATAAAGAAAAAAGTGTGCAAGACAATAAGAAACACTACCTGCCAAAAATAAGTGAAGTTTTGTTGAAATCGGTTGAAAAATGTAGGAAATCCAATCACATATATAAATGAACACACACAGACACACAAACAACCTGTGTTTTATAATAAGTATCGATATGAGTTGTCCCCCTTTCATTCTGGCAATAGAATCATGTTTTATCGTTTTCAAATTGATTTCATGCAAAAACAGTTGTTTTTCCAATTTGGGGCGCTGTCAGAACCACTGCAAGGTAATTTTACTCAGTATTGTAAAATTTTGTTGAAATCGGTTAAAAAATGTAGGAAATCCGATCCAATATATAAACATACAGACAGACACACACACACACACACACACACAATCTGCATTTTATAATATGTAAGATATATATATAATTATTTATTTAAAAATATGATTCCATCGCTACATAAGAGTTCTCATGTTTCAAAACAAGAGCCAAAAACTTCAATATAATTATTTGAATTAAAGTACCAAGCTCTGTTCCATCTTCAAGCGAAATTTTTTTTTTTGAATAACTAATTCTTGAAATTTACGCGTTTTTATAAGCATATTCATTTCACTTGAAGATGCAACAGAGCTTGGTACTTTAATTCAATTTAACTCAAATAATTATATTGAAGTTTTCGGCTCTTGTTTTGAAACATGAGAACTCTTATGTAGCGATGGAATCATATTTTTAAGTAAATAATTATATTTAGGCTCTACTGTTGTATCGAGCACTGTTTTTTTTTTTTTTTTTAAATAACAAAAATACTAAAGAACTTTGGATTATTTACCTAACGAGTTCTTTCCTATTTTCTATATATTTTCACACACACACACACACACACACATATATATATACATACACACACACACACACACACACACACGAGGGTTCTGAAAAGGTTTCCAACCGACCAAGATCCTAAATCTGATCAATGGCTAAACTTCTTTTCTTTTTTTTTCTTTTTTTCCATGTTTGGACTGAACTTTTCAGCACACCCTCATTGTAGGCTCTCAAGTCTCAACTGTAGATTCATTTCTTTTCTTACATAATAATCAACCCTCTTCTTTCTATTCTTTAACTCTTTTGTCTTCTCATAGGATCGTTGTCTCTTCATTTCTAAATCTGTGTCCTATCTCCATGTTTCTATTACCTTTCATCCTGCATCTCTCTTTTTCTTTCTTTCTTTCATTTTTTTTTTTCCCTCCACTTTTTTTTTGTTTTTAATCTCTTTCAGCCAATTCCTTTTCATTCTCTACAGTTTCCCCAAGTGTTTTAATTCCAGTTGCCTCGCTTAACTGTGTCTCCTTTACGGTGACAATTTCTTTATGAGAAGTGGCTCCTGTCCCCATGTTAGTTTACCCGTCCCCCCACCCCATCCCAAGTTGTAAAAAAATTCTCTCTATTCCAACCAGGGCCGGATTATGACCTTTTGGGACCCCTAAGCTAATGAAATTACGAAACCACCCTCACCCGCACACATCTTGAATATTTTTTACCCATGATATATTTTAGCGACATTTACATAGCTTGAAGTAAACTTATTGCAAATTCTTTAAATAAACTAGAATAGCTATCTTTTGTTTGTGAGTAAAAATATTCTTTAAGAATTACCACTATTTACTGCAAACAAAATTAGCATATATTTCAACACAACCGTAGTAAAAAAAAAAAAAAAAAAACATTAAATTTGTAACCAACATTATAACAATAAAATCAGTCAAAATAAATATGTCATATTGATATCAGCTTATGAAACTAACATCTAGATGATTAAAATCATTGCTTTATAAAAGCTTGAGAGACCCCGAGGCTGCAGCCTCTACTAGCCGAAAGGATAATCCAGCCCTGGTTCGTTGTTTGTTTTGTTTTTTTATTGCAATTTTCCTTATAACGAAAACTCAAATTGTGTACTACACAAATACGAGGTCTGATCAAAAAGTATTGGGACTGCTGCTATAAAAAAGAAAACTACAACAACAACAATTCAGCATTTAATCTCCTTTCAAGTGGTCCCCTTCCGAAGCCACTACTCACTTTATCCAGCATCGTTTCCATTGATGAAAACATTCATGGAACAACTTTTGGGGGATAGCTAGCAGCTGCATCATTGCTTTCTCTTGAATTTCCTCAATGTCTTGAAATGTTGTTCCTTTCAAGTTGGATTTGATTTTTGAAGAGGGAAAAGTTGCAAGAGACAAAATCTGGGGAATATGGTGGTTCTCTAACCTGGGGAATGTTTATCTTGGCCAAAAACCACTGCACATGCCATGGTTACTGATGGAACCTCTGTGATGTGATGAAACAACCAAAACTTTACACACTCTCCTTCCAAGCACTGTTTATTATATATATATATATATATATATATATATATATATATATATACACATATATATACATATATAATTTCATACATACATATAGATATACTATAGATACAGACGTTTTCTTTTAAGATAAAAATTAAAATTAACAATTTTTGGCAATTTTTAACCTTGATGCCTACAAAAAAATGGTGTGTCAAATGGATGGTTTTTCCCTTGACACCACTATTATTTTAACTACCTTCACTCCTCAGCAATGTTTATTGTTTTAAAAAGTGGTGATTAGAATTTTTCATAAAATGTAAACATATGAAAGTAAATTTATATATTTTCTTAGTTCTTGAGAATTGACAACAAAAACAATAAACACTATTTATTAGTTTGTTTATTTACACTCAAGGACACATGGTACAGTGGATAAAGGCGTTAGTTAGATCCAGTGACAGGACCCAAAGAGTGTGAGTTCAATACCCGGCTAAGGCGGTGAAGAACTTGGGAGAGGGAATTAAGGAGGAGATAACTGATAACCACGTGGAACTGGAAGAGTCTACCCGAGTGAGCAAAATAAAGTGTTCAGTTCGACATTCCAACTACCTGAAGAAGGCCAGAGCGTGCAACAGACAAAATGTTGTAATAAATATGCCGACAAAGATGAGGACAATAGTCCAAATAATGTAAATAGTGTCTATTTACACTGTTTATTATATTGTTTATTGGAATGGTTGGCAAAATATTGGCTAATTGTGAATTGATTGAAACTTTATAATAAGGATCTCCTTATAGTTCACATATTTTAGTAATTTAGTAAATGTTTACAAATTCATGAATAAAAAATTTTCATATTTGTTTATAAATTGGGAGACAATAAATAATGCATTAGTTTTAACACAATTCTATTATTTTTTTTGAATGTTGCAAATATTAAAATTTTTTCTGAAACAGTTGTTAGTTCTTGGCCTGACCCACTTCCCAAAAACTGTGTTTTCAAAAATAGGACAAACCAAGAATTTTTCAGCACCCCCTTCTGTGTGTTTACATCATGTGTGGGTGTATGTTTATTTAATGCCTTTGCGTTTTTATATATGAGGGGCACATGGGCAGTGAGTGTATCTATGTAATGTTTGTGCATATCTTTTTTTATATATAGTAGGTGATTGTTTCTTACACACACACATATATGCACATATATCATGGAACTTATGAAGACCTAATTTTGAAACTAATTTTTAGGAAGTCGCATCATCATACATGAAATATAAAATTAGAATATGTACTGCTAGCCCTGGCTACACCATTGACCAAACTATATATCCATTTACTGGAGTCAAATTAGCTTCATAATTAGGTCTTCAAGAGTCACATGATATGCGAGTATATACAGTGTGTGTGTATATATATATATATATATTATTACTTCAACCATTATTTTTAGTGGATACCTGTATTTGAAATAGACCCTTTTTTTTTTTTTTTTTTTTTTTATAAACAGTGTATATTACATCTATTAGCTTGCACACTCCACTCCAGAAATCTAAAAGAAAATGTTCTCTCCAACAGGGTTTTTTATATATATATATATATATATATATATATAATATCAGCACAGGACCAAGTGGTTAGAATGTTTGTTTTCTGACCAAGAGACTCAGGTTCAAATCTCATCAAGGTCAATTTGTTAGGAAGGTGACTTCTTGATATTATCATTCTGGTGGAGGTGATTCCAGCATGCAGTATCTTTGGACAGTGCTTGAAAACCAAGCCATGGGTTGACCCAAGCCTTTTGAGTGAAATTGGGTAGACGGAAATCTTGAGCGGGTGCTGTTGATGGTTGTGCTAGCGTGAGGACACAAGTCATCATGACCGAGGATTGATCACACTAGATAATGCTCTCTCTCTCTCCCAGAAACTATAACTCAGGTCCGCTCAGCATAGTTGCAGTATAAACCACAGGTGCCTATGTGGGTATTGAACAAACACAAAATATGCCTGAGCGGGTGTCTGCATCAGGAATTAGCTAGCTGCCCTACTATCCTCAGATACAAGTGACCAGCCATTTTATTCATATATATATATATATATATATATGAGAGAGAGAGAGAGAGACTCATTTAAACACACACGTAAACCTACCAAACTTCGTCCACAATATCCTTATAGAAAATACAAATACAGTTGCCGCGTCTACATGTAAAAATAGGCTAAAAATAATGGAAGCACTAATAATAAAAAAAAATAGGAGACAACACTCAATAACATCAACTATGAACATGGCCACAATGTGCTGACCATGTTTGCAGAATAAAACATTCCTATAACTCTAGACACGTACATATATAAAAACCCATACTTTCAGTTAAAAATAAATCAAAATCATCATTGATGATGGCTAAAAGAATAGCTGAAAGCTCTCAGATATGCAGAACATTTAGACAACTTTTACACACTTTATGTACAAAAAAGAAAACACTTTTATGAACAAAAGAAAAAAAATTAAATAAGAAGCTTAATCATAGTACTTTGTCAGTTGTCCTTAATGAAACATGTATAAAAGAAGGATTGCTGCCCAAATACACACACACACACACACACACACACACATATATGTATAAGTGGTGAAAAAATTCTTGGAAATCTCCCTCCATAGTATATATACAAATGTGTGTGTGTGTGTATATATATATATATATATATATATATATCTGATAGACCCTCCCATCGTTTTCAATATATGAAGATTCAACAGTATGTTCTGCCCTTGATACCCTACTTATGTTTGTGCTTTCGACAGAAGAGCTCAGCAAAGAATTCAGATATTTTTTTCTTAACTTTTACGAAGTAATTTACTGGTATAACTTTTCTGCACCCTATCATATATACAATAGGTGCTGAAAAGTTATTGGCGCATTCCCCACGCCCTCAGCTACCAAAATCAGTATTCTGATATTTGGTCATTACAATAATCATTTTCAGAAGTGGGTTGGGCTAATAACTTTTCATCACCCCCTCAAGTTGATGTCTGCATCTGTGAGAGAGAGAGAGAGAGAGAGAGAAACCTGGTGTTTTGTCAATTTCCTATTGTGAGACCATCTTCTATTCTTTGCAGACTTTACAATCTTCTCATCTCCTCACTTCCATACTCGTTGCTGCCTCACTTTACACGTCTTGTCCTCCTTGTCATGTGTAATTTCAACAACAATTTTATCTTCCTTTGCTGCTGTCTGGAAAATAGTTAAGTGGTTATAAAGTTGGTCTCGAGGTCAGGACTGGAGGAATCAGGAAAAGGTGAAGGCTGTAAGAACCTTCTATCACTATCATATGTAAGCTTTTTTTTTTACTATAGCAATTTTGCTATGACTATCTTTACTTAGAATCAGTGACAGAGAGCAATGATAGGTATTCATGTACAGAGTGTGTAATGGCAGGCAGCTCAGAAAGAGAAATTGGAAATCTGAGTTTGAATTCCAGCCGAATCCATTGCATTCACTTTCACCCTTAAATAGTAGGGCAAAATGGCTGACAACCAGTTTAATAGGAAGGACAAAACCATTTGTAGTCCTGGCAAGATGAATACTCGATAGCCATTGAAAACGTTTAAAAGTAACTGAGGCTCTTCATTGTTGACTCTATGATCTTGACTGAGGTTAAACAAAAAAAATAAAAAAACAGTATCAACATATTTATTTTGTGTATTTTTGGTCATCTTGTAATAAGTAGCCTCACTAACATAGCTGTTTCGAATTGACGAAGTCTTGGATATGTGATGAAAAATCTTGACCATTGACTGATACTGGATTATCCTGGTGGGACCATAATTGTCTTGCTCTGCAAGATTAACATTAACTGTCTTATATTTTGTTATTTCAAATGGCATACAGTTTTATATATATATATATGTTAAGA